CAGGAAACTCCTGCAGGTTCAATGAGAAGAGAGAGAGGTCAGCAAGGCTTTCCAGACAGGTTGCAGGGAAGATGGAGAAGCTGACCACCTGACCTTGTGGAGGGAGAAGTAATATTGCTGAGGTCCTAGTCACAGGACCCTACTATAGGATTGTGGTGATTATGGGAGAGAGAGGAGTCCATGGTGGGAGCTCCCATCCTCTTCTTTTCCCTGGACAGAGTCAGGGTGGTGTACCAAAGAGTAGGGTGGTCCTTAATCACACTGTGCTGCACCTCCGTTTCAGTCAAGAACTTGATCAAAAATGGAAGTGAGACTTGGACAAATTCTCAGTATAACTGACTCAGCTGATTTGCCTGGGAAATAGCTATCAAAAGACCTTTTAAACTTCCACTGCTCTTTCTTTCAGCATGTCCAATGGTATTACAAGGGCCGAAGTCCCATCTTTGGACTCCTTTGGCAAACTGACAGTGCTCCGGCTGTCAGTTAAGTCAAAAGCACAGTTCCACTGTCTCCACCTATAGTTCTTTCCCAGTGTAGTTAAGTGAGAAGGAAAGAACATTTCAGGCTCCTGCTGTTGCAGAAAGTGTGTATTGCCCTAAAACCAGCTTCTGGTGGGACTTTTCGGATAAGAAATGTAAGTGTGGGGAAGGATGTGGTAGGGGTCTAACACTAACACTGGTGCTGTGGGGATGCAGAAGTATGAGGTTCTCTGAGTGGACTGTTGCCTGGAAAACTCCTTGTTGTCTGGTTTTTAAGATGTTCTGAAGACTCAGGACATGCAAGTCAGTTAATGATTCACAATTTCCCCATTTTTTAAACCAATGCTAAACAATGGAGCTGAGCAAAAGAGGTTTTGTTTCCTTAGATTCCTTATTTCAAGGCTTTTCACCAGTGTCACATGATAAATATAAAAGAAAACAACAATATATGATGTGACGTGGGCCATCAGGTTGTGGCAAAGGGGACACTGCCTAGGGGTGGGCATAATCACATTACCCACAGCCCCCAGCAGTGGACAGAATGGCTATGGTAGGGGAGGGGTGACATCCTACAGCCTGATATCTCTTTGCAGAGCTGAGGTCCTGGGAAATTGGCACCATAATTACAAATACTGTTAGCAAAACAGGTTTTGTGAGGAAAGACTTCTCAAAGACCAGTGACCTTGCAGAAGAGTCATTGGAAGAGGAAGGCCTCTCACAACCATTGCCACATCACAGAAAAGATGCTGGAGGAGATGTTCACTATCGCCCAGTTCTATTCGCTGTTGAAGACAGATGGTGACAGGGTCATGCGGGTACAAATATCTTATTTAATTTCTTTCCACTGAAGTGAAGAACTGAAGACAGGGCTCTGCAGTTAGGGTGCATCTACACTACAGGGCATAACTCGAAATAAGCTACACAAATTGAGCTACGTCAATTGCATATCTTATTTTGAAATAGAGCGCTCTTCCTCTGACTTCCCTTACTCCTCGTACAATGAGGGCTACAGGAGTCGGAGTGAGAAGTCCTCCAGCTTGACAGTATTTTGACACTATTTCGAAATAACTGCCTGCTGTGTAGACATGGACTAAATTATTTCAGAATAGAACTCGTTATTTTGAAATAGTGTTGCAGTGTAGACTTACCTTAATTAGAGATGAAAGGTTCCCTGTTTTATTTTGAAATAGTGTTGCAGTGTAGACTTACCTAAATTAGAGATGAAAGGTTCCCTGTTGAACTATAAATCTCTGAGCCATTCAGACCCCACTAATAACTGTGAATACTTTAAGATACTAATAGGTCCTCTTTTCAGGATGGTTTGTCCCCAAACCAGGTACCTGACATTTGGCAGCAGTGCTCAGAGTCCTAAATTAATCCTGAACTCAGTAATAAATAACCTGTCGGCATCTCAATCTTCCTACTTTCCTAAGTCTGTGACACATACTATCTTGTTTCTGATTTATCAGGGCATACCAGCAGAGACCAAGCCAGAGGTGGAGAAGTCCACATCCCTATCTGTGGCTCAGCTGGCAGGAAAATTCAAAGAGCAAGCAGCTGCAGTTTCTGGAAAGGAGGTAAGAAACACATCAGATAACAAAAATGGGAAATGGGAGACTAGTCCCTAGCCAATGAAGGTGGGGAGACTGGGTGATCCAAACATAAAAATAATGGCTTGATTTTGGTTTAGCAACTTTTATCCCGAATGATCCCACAGTATTTCATATCAGAAGACAATCTCATGCACAATACACTCTATACATTCCTGATTTATCTGTAGACATTCTCACATACCTATTCCAGCTGCCGTTAGAGGAAGTTTGTTGCTAGCCAGTGGCAGGATTTTTGTGTGTCTGGGACATTGAAAAACCTGCCAAGACATTCATGAGTGTCCCTCTGGTAGTTGGCATCAGTGCAAGGTGCAAATGTACAGCTCAACACTGGGCCTTTTTGATTCCTGACTAATCAGAAGGCACCCAACTAGTTTTCCTTAATCAAATGTTTGATGTTTATGAAAAAGAAATGAGACTCCAAATAGTGAGAGGCTGAACAGCAGACTAAGCAGCTTAAAAGCCAGCACACATGTCACTAGCCTCTCTCCAGGAATAATAATAATATATAATAAATGTATTATGATCGGTGTCTTAGCAATACCTATGAAAGATAAACACATTACAGAAGCACCACTGGCAAGCAAATTTCTGAATCAGCTGGCCAGGGCTCAGAAATGGTAAATAAAGTCTTGACCCTCTTTACTGGACTCGCTAAGCACTTTTATCCAATCATAGCACAGCAAATGCATAAACTCCAGATTAGACCATGTAAAGTCTTGACCCTCTTTACTGGACTCTCTAAGCACTTTTATCCAATCACAGCACAGCAAACGCATAAACTCCAGATTAGACCATATATATACATGCTGACACCTAATTAACCCGCACAAATAATATTATTTGCAAGGCATGCATCTCACAAATGTCTCCAGTAAGGGCCAGCACATACTGCTATCAGGATTCCTTTCTTCCCAAAAAGCAAGAAGATGACATTCATGAATTTAAACAAATGAAGACAATCTCCTGTTTGGCTGTAGATAATTGATCCAGGTATAGCAAAGATTATGCAGCTTTTAATTTCATGCATTACTGAGTGTGACTGAAGTCAGGAGAAATAAATAGGACCTATTAGAGTTCAAGCAATGGTTTATTGCTGTGTTAGACACTATAAATTGGCACTGCAGGAAAACTGGTGCAGTCTTGCAGGATGTTATGTTAGAATACTACATTGGATAGGACTCATGTCTTGCCAGGAGCTGGGTAGACTCAAATTAATGGAGGACACTAGAATTTGACCAGCCCCTGTATGCTGGCTTTTATAGCCAGAAAGCATCCCCGTCAGAGCAGGTTTGTCTGTCTTTCTTCACTGAGGCATGGCGTAGATAACTGAATCCTGGTGATCCGGGCCTGTTTCACTGATTCACAAAAGCAGCAATGCTAGTGAGAAACAGTCTTTTGGGGAGCAAGAAGGAAAAAACCTGTCTGGGGAAGGGGTTCTGGAAGGGAAATCTAGAAAATACAGTGGAGGCAGTAGAAAGAACATAAGTAGCAAAAGTCGCTGTCACGAGGCAGAACTCACTGCCATGGTGCCTCCTGCTGGTAACACTGAGAATTAGCTCTTGACAGCAGTGCGCCTCCTTCTAGCTGATATCTCCCCAGTCACTCCACTTGGTTTAAGGTCGGACTCTGGACCCGCGTTGCTCCCAGACCATGGTGTCCTCTTCAGGACACTGCCTTTCAGCGTGCCCACTACCGTTGTCTCTCATCCCCCTTCTGGGGGTTTATCAGCAGCCTGGTGTCTCTGCTGCCACAGGGCCAGCTGCAATCCTTCCAGGCCACAAAACATGGTGGCTAGACATTGTGCAAGGAGGAAGAGGGGGGACCCACTACTCTGGGTCCCGACCCATGGACCCTCTGGCTATAGCCTTTTCCTGCTTTCCACTGCCTTCTATTTCTTTTTTTTTTATCTGAGGAAGTGGTTCTGGCCCACGAAAGCTCATCATCTAATAAACCATCTTGTTAGTCTTTAAAGTGCTACATAGTCCTGCATTTTACTTCTATTTCCTGGGCCACTTGCTGGTGACTCTCTGCACCCTCCTGGCCCTAGTGACAAGACCAGCAGCTTGGTAGGTCTAGGCAGAAGCCTCCCTTGCTAGCCCCCCTGAGCCTGCCCAGCACAGTGCACTGGTCTCACAAATTTGCCTCTCTCCTGCCTCTTCCCTGGTCAGGGTCTAACTGACTCTTTCTGCTGGGCATCTCCCTATATACAGGGCTGCCCCAGCAAGCTAAACCCTGATTAGTTTTTAAAAGCTTCCCTCTGAGTGGCCAGGACTCTGTGCAGGCTCCGTCCTGCCTGCATTAACCCCTTCCAGCCAATGTGGGGCAGTTGCCCCACCACAGTTGCCCAAAATGGCGTGCGTTTAGGCCACAAATGGCTTTAAGCCTCTGAGGAATCAGAGAAAAGTCTAAGGACTCACGGATGCTGATCTCTTTTCTGTGACAGAGAGTCCCCTACAACCATCACAAACATGTTAAAAACGAAAATTATATTTACCTAAACCACATTCTGCCAGTTGATAATCCCTCAGTTTCCTGTGCCCTTTAGAATATAAAATTGTCTTCCTGCTGCCTATGTTATTTCAGCACATCACAGTCCTAGGTGTATGTGTGTGATATAATAAGCATGGTTGTCCAACCTCATTATATTTGTGATCATCACATCAGATTGGTGAGTTATGTCCTGCAAACTTAGCATATAGGACATTAATGAATTCCCATGGTATGTCACTGCCTCACAATGTGGCACCATCACGTTGTGAAATGATCATGTTACAACAGAACGGGGTGATACTGCATGTCAGGATTGTGATGGTTCATGGCAATATTGCGTTGTCATGGGATGACACCCTCACAGTTTGATTACCTTGCTTCATGAAATGATATTGTATCACAATCTGCTAACACAACATCATCAGGTAACAGTGTAAACCTCAGGAAGCCATGATGCCTGAGCTTTTCAGCTCAGACAAACTCTATAAAGTGGCCAACTCATTAGAGGTGAAACTGCCAGTTCAATGTTTATAATTTCCCAGGTCCCCGGACATTACAAGGGTAAAAACTATGACAAAAGTCACCAAATATTGCTCCACAGAGCACAATGGTAACTTGCCAAAAGTCAGGCCATACCGGGATTTGAATTTCCCGGGCTTCATTAGCATAAGCGGGGAGCCGCCATTTTTAAATCCCCGCTGCTTCGACCCCCGTGTAGCGCGGCTACACGGGGCTCGAACCAAGTAGTTCGGACTAGGTTCCTACTCCGAACTACCGGTACACCTTGTGGAGGTGAACCGAGGTGTACCAGTAGTTCGGAATAGGAATCCTAGTCCAAACTACCTAGTTTGAGCCCCGTGTAGCCGCGCTACACGGGGTTCGAACAAGCGGGGATTTAAAAATGGCGGCTCCCCGCTTATGCAAATGAAGCCCGGGAAATTCAAATCCCGGGCTTCATTTGCAACTCCGGTTGCCTACATTACCACCCTAGTTCGAACTAGGGTGGTAATGTAGGCAACCGGAGTTGCAAATGAAGCCCGGGATTTGAATTTCCCA